TAAATGAAAAAGAGAAAATTATCACTACAACTTGTAAACATTGAGCATACCCTGACTTCTTCCTCTATATCTGGCCATAAGGCAGGCTGCAGCAGATAACATGATGTCAATATTGCTTGTGTCACCGAGCATGTAATTTTACACGTAATAAAACAAAAACAGTTGAATGCAAGTGGCAGGAACAGCCAATGTTCAATTTTGCAGTTGTGAAATATTTACTTAAAGTAACTTAAGGGTGAACATGAATGATAGTTGGTTGATCAGAATTTTAGGGCAGATTCCTAGGCATCAGGAAGTTTCTTATAAAATTCATTCATCAGAGGGTATCTGCAGTAGCAATAGTTTAAGTAAAAATATTAGTTTTACTTTATATATATATATATTATTTAAAGTGATTGTTTATATTTTTACCATGAACAAAGGGGGAAGGGGGTAATGGTTTTAAGAACTAGAAATCTCAGTGTGTCCTGGTTATATTACTTTAAAATCTGATCACCCTATTAAGTCTATATAATATCTAGTTTAAAGGTTTGCTGACCTTTGAACCTGGTGACCCTGGAATACCTGGTGGACCTGGATTGCCAGTTGGTCCCTAAAAATGAAGTTTTTGCTTTTAATGTTTCTCCATACCAGCAACAGTAAAGAAATAGAGCAGAGTAAAAATTTATACATAAATTTTCTATTTAAACAAAGCTCTGTAACTAATACATTGACATTATGTACACAATCAACAAATAATGTAAAAAATGGACATTATATCTGGTATCTAATCAAAAGCTTAAATAAATTTTGTTACTGTGCTTTCTATAAATAAGTGCGTGATACGCACTTAAAATAAATTGACTTTTGGAGATAAATTACCTTAAAAATCTTTAGTTTTATTTTTTACTTTCTTGGTGACATTTTTATCATATGCATTTTGTCAAGCCAGAAATATGCTTGATGTTTAAATGATAAACTATTGACAGGCTTGTTTCTAGCTTGAAAAGAAGCATTTAATAGAAACTTCAACAAAGAAATAAAAAATAAAACTAAAGTTGTTTGAGGTTATTTATCTTCAAAAGTCTAATTTATTTAGTTTTTTCACCTTTGCATTCCTTTGTCTTTTTTGTTCTATATACATGCATGCATACGCAGTATATATATATATATATATACACTGATGTTAATACAATAGCTCTTTAACCCATTGACTGCTGATTCATCATATAGGGTACAGCTTGCCTCTGGCAGTTGAATGCGAATATGCCCTATACAGTATATGACTTGCAAAAATCTAGTGTGTCTTTAGAGCAGCTGTGGTCAATGGGTTAAATAAACAGTAACTGCTAGGGAATTGTTATGCAAAGCATATGCCTAAACTAAACAAAAGTTCTAATGAATGGTTTTTACAAATTAAGTGCTGTTTGGAAAATGACAGAGAGAAAAAAAACAACAACAAGAGCTAAGTAATGAAACAGAAATAATAAGGTGTGACAAAAAAAAGAAGATAAAACACATAAAGGAAATACAACATCAGTACACACTGTATTTAACAGAATGGCTGTTGTTTACTACCAATTATGTGATCATGATAGATTAGTTAGAAAGGAAAAAGCTGAAAGTATCCAAATGCAATATGACTTACAGGAGACCCAGGAGGACCTGGTAAACCATCTACTCCCCTCAAACCCTAAAGAAATGAAAAACTAGTTTAATAATCACATAATAATAATACATACACTTTATGTTATAAAAAATATTTAAATGTATCAATAAAATGAATTTTTAGCTGAATATAATTTATTTTAAAACTTAAAAAATGGTACACAATTTTACTTTTCAAAATAACATAAGGATAGTTAAGTAAACTCTGTAACTCTACATCAGTGTCAAACAAAAAAGGATAAATTCTTTTTCAAAAACTGAATGCTTGAAATACAGGCTTCCACTGCATTACAAAGTCCAAGTTAAAGGGGAAAATTTTGAATTTTTTTTCACATTTACATTCTATCTTTTTTAATTTTAATTAAATATATATAGAAGTATACGTTTGTTCAAGTATTTGTGTAATAGACAAACATAACATACCACTGATTTATTCTCTAATCAGACCAAATGAAAGGTACCCATTTTGATGAAACTGCAAATTTTAACAAAATAATCCAGCTTGGTTTATAAAGATAAAAATATATACAATTAAGTATGATTAATTCTCAGAAATCCTCAAGTTCTCTGCATTTCATATATTGTACGCTAGCTACTTAACCTATTTCAACAAACGTTTTTTGTCTCTTAATAGAACAGTTTCTCATTTTCTAAAAATGTATTTTTCTTTATGTAGCTGGTCATTTTAAAATACCACAGAAAAGAAAATATCAAATTAAATAAAATAACTAAACCATATACTACAAAAAATCTAGATTATATGCTCACAGGAGGTCCAGAAGGTCCTTCTTTTCCATGCTCTCCTCGAAGTCCAGGAGGACCCTTAGTTATTGAAGAAACAAATAACACCATTATACAAAATACTGCATAACAAGAGCTATAATATTATTATTAATACCGATCATGCTAACAGAAAGTAAAAGGTATTCATAATAAGATCCTTAATTTAATTTGTGTTCAAAGAAAGTAGCCTACAAGTCATTATAAAGACAAGTTTTCAAACCTTTTTTTTTAACATACTACAGGAGCATTCAAAGCATTAAACCTTGAAATGAGTAATACTGTTAGCTACATAAACTTTAGAGTTCCACATGGATTGATATTTTTACTAAAGTTGATTCCAAGGAAATCATAAAAAAATAATAAACTATGGTGAATTTTAAAATTCCAAAGAAATTGTTCAATTAATATTTTATACAAGTTTCATGTCTTAATAAAAGTGTCCATAAAAAAACTCTTACTGACTCATGTGACATATATATATATATATCCATGATAATCCATTGTATTGAACCTGGAGCCTTTTGTACCCCATAAAAGTGCTCTAGTTATTGTCAGTAAGGCATTATTTAATAACTCAAACTATCACAAATTTTCACAACTTTTCTTATTTCTTGTTAACACCATTATGTTCCTATAAGTGGTATTGCACTTTACATACCCATGTCACTGAACAGTTATCCATAGCTGCAAATTAAGCACTAGATATATTATGTATTTAGTTATAAGATTGCATTAGCAATTGACCAATACTGATTTGTGACACTATTCAGAGTTTATGGAAACATGCACATACTATGAGAAGAATATCTTTTTAAAAAATTAGGTGAGAAATTGATTTTTTTTTTCACCGAGATAGATACAGTGATGCTTTTGTCAAAGAAACTGTTCTAAAGAAGTCTGAAAACCAAGGTTCACAAATTATGTAGGTTTGAATATCTGGATGTGTTCAAGCAAAGTTGTTTAGCCAGCTTATATCATGATTAAGAAGTAAAAAGTGAAACCTAAAGAATGTGCACAAGTGGGGATCAAAGTGCATATGCCACAACGTGTACAGAGTGCCATTCAACAGGATATTATGGTTTTGATTTCAGTTATCAACTTTTCATAGTACCATACATTGCTCATTTCACAATAGTTCATATTAGAGAAAATACCATAAACGATATACAGGGACACTAAACACAATTTTTGATATGCATTTAAGGGGTTATAGAGGTTATGTAAATGCAATATGGAAACTGTACAATGGAAAAAAAAAATTTTTCTTCATCGCATAAACATCACCTTGCTCATCAACTTGTCAGAGTCTGATTCAGACTGACTTGGGCAATCCACAGACATATCTTTAGTACAACTAAAAGCCTGCCAAATAGATAGACACAGTAAATGCAGAATTAAGGTCCCTATTCAAGTGCTCTAGAAACTGTTGGTAAGGGATTTTTAAAAACTCAAACAATCACACATTTTTATACCTTTTACAGATTTGCTTATTTGATGATAACAACAGTATGTTTCTAAGAGTAGATTTGTACTCTACATACCCAAGTGACTGAACAGTTATCAGACCCAATGTATAATCAGTTAAGTAACTTTATATTTATACTAATTAAAAGAGCATTTTTTCTTCTTTAACTTAAATTACATATTTTATATAAACAACTGGACTAATGATAATAGCAAAATAAAATGATTTTGCAGTAAAAGCAAAAGGTTGGACAAGTAAGTTAACTAATTATACAGCATAGTCATATACAGTATTTTATTTATTATGTTTATCTTAACAAGGTTTTAAACTAGCTTCACTCTTATTGTTTTAATAATTTTAACCTGAATTACTTCTGCCGTTGATATGAAAATTATATCGGTGGGAACTTTTGTAAACAATTTTAAGTGCCCAGAAAGCTGAATTTAGGAGGGTATCATTTGCAAAACGAAATTTTACAAGATTGACTTTAAATAGTAATAAAACATAAGATGTTTGTTAGTGAATACAAATATTAGCTAGATATCTCAACACTATACAACATGTTTTAGACAGCTTTAATTGTAAATCTTTTATTTGTATAACCAGAGAAAACATACAGTCTTTTATTACAGAAATACTTCTTTGTTTGTTAAACATAAAGCTACACAATGGGCTATTCTGTGCTGTGCCCCCCACAAGTATCAAAACCCGGTTTTTAGCAGTGTGAGCCCTCAGACTTACCGTTGAGCTACTGGGGGATTACAGATATATATATATTTAGTTTTTTTACTACACACACACACACACATTTGTATATATATGCTAAGAAAAAATATATTTCTATGCTCATAAAAAAAACAGAAAGAAAAATATATATATTCATACCAATGGACCCGGAATACCCATTTTACCCTGCAGTCCCATAGCACCCTGAAAAGAAAAAAATATTTTATGACTGAAACAATCAACAAATACTTAGTTAAATTTATACAGCTTTTGTTTAAGCTGTCTAATTAACAACACAAATACATTTTATTAAACAGAACACTAGTCATCTACGAGGTTTTTAAGCCTGTTTTACTTCACCATATACTGGACATAGTGACCTGAATTAACTTAGGTATGTGAATAATGTTATGACTTCATCAAATTCATTATTTGATACCATACAGTGGACCAACTGTTTAATAAATACAGAACACTAGTTACTTTATCATAACTGTGGTATAATAACCCTTGTATTGTTAAGTATTTTCTATATCAATACTATTTAATTTTAAAACAATAAAATCTATGTAAAGAAAATTATTCAGCAAAGCCGATTTCAAAATTTTGTGTTGAGTTGAGTTTAGTACCTAAAAGAAATTTTGTAAAATTCAGTTTTCATTCATCATCAGGTGTTCTTTGAGTTTATTTAAATGTTTTCTCAATTCCTGATAAGACATGCTTCAATGATAGAGGATTAGCACACAAAAGATGATATTATTGATATATCACAGTTCTGATTTCTAGATTGTGAACAGATTATTAATAATAAGATATATATATGTTATGGATTCTCACCTTCTTTCCTACTTGGCCCCGTTCACCTTTAGCTCCATCTGCACCTGGATATCCCTATAAGTCCAGATCAACAATCACTTACAGCCATTAAGTATAAACACAAGGTAAAATACAAAAGATAATAATTTACATTAAACAAAAAAGCCCACAATATAACCATATCATGTGAACTGAAACTTCAAGCAATGTAATTTTTTTCAGCCAAACTGAGCTGTAAAGTATGTTTTTGTATCAGGGAGAAAACACAAAACAACTCAATAAGGACAAAGAGTATTTTCTGTTAAAGCTTTTCAACATCCTATTAAGCAAAACAACTATAATAAAATAATTTCTAAAATGATAACAAAGCTCTAGTTTATACACTAAATAGAACAACTTGTCAATCAAGTGAGGCAGTAAAATGTTTACACTTATAGTATCTAAGAATCACAAGTTAAGATATTGTTCTTTGTTCTCATTTTAATTCGTATTTAGTTTCTTTTTATAGATCTTAGAGAGGTACTTTTAATATGTTGTTTATTACAATCTTTGTTAGCTTACTCTAAAACTTTTACAAAATTTTTTCCAAAACCACAAGAGAACTTTCTGTTAATTTATTTCTGATCTGTAGTAAATGTCTTTGTAAACTCTAATTAGAAGAGAAAATTAATCTCCTCATTTTTGTTAGCTAGGAACCAATGTGTTAATTAGTACACTTTGTTACAACGTTTTAAGAAATAGGCCTAATATTACCGTATTGTGTATGTTATTGAAAAACTTCATGTTATAAAACATCAGCATATGATTTAATTTAATAAATCTAAAATGGGTTTAATACAAATACTAAAACAACATAAAAAACTTGTACTGTAAGATACTAAGCTATTACAATAAACTGATGAAAACTTTAGGACACATGATGAATAACAGTGTCGATCTCACTACACCGCACGTCAACCTACCTGATGCCCTTTAATACCGGCTAGTCCAGGCAATCCTGGTGTTCCTCGTACACCCTAGACAATGAAATTACATTATCTCATGCACATAAGAGTTATTTAATAAATACAAGAGACATACATAACCGTCACCTGCTATTACTAAATTATACTTCCTTCTATGTGTAATCTAATAATAACAGATTAAATTAAAATCACTATAAAAATACAAATTAAAAAGGACATAAAATTGATCACTATAAGTAATCTCTGTATTTAGTAGAATTTTTTTAAGGTTAAAAGCAATTTTAGTCATCAAGTAAAGGTATGGGAATATGACGTATCAGTTATTTTTGTAAATCTTCAGCTTATCATTCTTAGTTCCTGTGTATAATTATTATCATACTGATAAAAAACGTGTATATATATATATATATATTACCGTTATTAGTTTTGTTCTATAAATAATTTTAACTATTTATATTGTATGTACAATCAACTAACATCACAAATAATGCACAATAATAGTATGATTGTAATATTGTTGTACAAGTAGTTCAAACAATGAGTAAAAAATGTTTCCAAATACAAAATAGTCTTTTAAAGCAATTCACAAAGTTACTACAAAGTAAAAATCTAACAATAAGAAAATGAGAATAAGTGTTCAACAATAACTCACATGTGGCCCTGGTGGACCTGGAGGGCCCGTCATTCCATTAGCACCTGTTTTTCCCTAAATATAAAATGTACATTTAATCAAAAACATATGACACTAAACGATGCTTGATTATTCTTTATTTATTGCTTAAGACTAGTTTTGTAAACATATATATAAAATTGGAATGTAACATTTACAATAGTAGTCATATGTATTCCATAGTTTTGGTATTGTGAACATAAATTTCCATTCAAGTTCCAATTCTCATTAAATCATAACCATTAATATATTAGTTTGTCTAAAAACACATTTCTAAAGTGGGTAAAAATGACAGATAAACTGTGCTTCACTGTTTGACATATCTGGCTTATATGCACAACAGGTTAAACCCATGTGCTGCCAGCTTCTTCTATTGCAATGTTACACATTTTTCTGACTTCAAAAGAAAATAAAACATTTTTCATTTCAATCATTAATGATCAGCTTGTATCAATGATCTACATATATTTTTTATGCATTATGACAATTTTCATACTGCAATTTACAAAGTTTATTAACTTCACTGTCTGAGCTACTTTGCAAATATATATACACATTTCCTTATTCCTATTTAAGAAGTTATCTTAGCTGTTAAACTTAGTGGTTTCAGATTAGAATAATCTATTATGGGTGACAGTTCTAGAACACTGTAACCATTAAACATGTGTTGAAACAGAACCTATAAAGCATTCCCATTCCTTCTATATCTATGATTTATGTCTGAAGAAGTGGCAAAGATGCTGAATTTTTTTTTTAATTAACAGAATAATATATTTCGTTTTTGTTAGAATCTTAGAAACGCCTTGATTATGTATATATATATATATATATACTAAAAATTTTCAATAAATCAGTCAATATAACAATCTATTCAAATATTGCCATTCTTTTGGAAAACTAAGCAACACAGTAAAGTTGGCTACTTTCATCACAAATATGTGCAACTCCTTTATGGAGTGCATTGTCTCAGGAAAACTACTGTCAGTATGAAAGCTCATATAAACGTGAATAATTATCACCACTTTTCAATTGAATAAGCAAATAAGCTCTTGGCTCATTGACGCAATAAACTGCTTATCAGTCAAGACATATCGTTTAACAAAGTTTAAAATTTTGTTGGATAGTCAGCAACAAACTACTTCTGTCTTAGAATATATATATCATATCTCGTCATTAATAAATAAATAATAAATTATTTTCTTAGTTATCATTTTCAAGTTGTTGTTTTTACAAGCATTAGATATTCCATAAGTAACTGTCTATCAAAACAAAAAATCTGTAAATGATGAATACACGAAAAATACTTTGAAGCTAAGTTTTAAAATGTCAATTCACAATACAGAATAATTTAGACTTGCAAATAGTATGTATTCACAACCAGCTATAACAATACTTTTTCACTAAACAAAAACTTATTCAGGACATGCCAAATTCATTTTATTACATGTCTTTATAGCTCTTACAGTTTTCTTCTTTTTTTTTTTCACTGAGAAAAACATTTTACAGAAAAAACTTAAATACCAAGACTGGAAAATGTTTAATTTATTAGAACCATAACCACTTATTCACTAAAATAACAAAATGATGAAAAAAACATAAAATCCTTGAACAGCTAATACTTTATAAGTGTAAGTAAATTTGTTGCATTAATCTGGTAATGAAGTAGACATAACTAAATAATGCAAGATTCATATCATCAAAAGTAGTACTTACATCCTTTCCAGGTAGACCAGGCAATCCTCTCTCTCCTGGCTGACCACGTGGCCCCTGGAAAGTGAAAAGCATTAATTCTCAACTGATATTTAGTTGTTGCGATGTGAAAACAATATTCTGAAAGTAATATTAAAACAAAAAAGCTTGATTCTGTGGCAATATCAAGTAATATAATTCTCAAATTACCCACTTTTTTTAAACTGTTTATTGCTGTTAAGGTATATATGCTATACTACTTTGAGTAAGTTTAAGTTTTTCCTGCTCAACAATTAATGTGAAGGACTGACCAAAAAGTGGGTGAAAAAACACTATTTTTATGTGTCAAATACGTAGCAAATGAGTGAATAGTTTCATATAGTGGAATTAATAAGCGTATTGATGGTATTTTTAAATATTTTGTGTATGTCTCTTAGTCATTAAAAACCCCGTTACCAATGAATAATGGACTCGCAAACAATTTGATGCATAAATAGTTTAGAAATTTTTTTTAAAAAAGCCAAAGAAGCCCATATGGGCCCCCATTAGCAATTTTAGGCTTAACTAAATTAGTCATGATATAATAGAAAAGCAAAATCATGTGTAATGCTAGATAACAATAAGTTCCTACAGCTACTGAAATAGATCCTCAAATTGTATAGGTAGGTTAAAATGTTTTTGAAAAGGCAGAAAAAATGACATATAATTCTATTATTATTATTTATGTGAAAGAAAAACACAAACATGTAGATTTAATTGAAACACATTTCTAATATTAACAATATACTCAGGGTCAATTAAAAGTTTCACACAAGAATAATTAACTAACACAAATTTTCTATTATAACTAGACTCCAAGGCTACTTATACAGCTGAAAGAAGTTTGAAATCAAACAATTATTACTAATGAATTGAGTCCATGATTCTATTAGGAATGATACAAAAACACATTTGCAAATTAATGCTAATGTATATGTAAGTTATATTAATAAGCCTATCAGCTACTGAATTAAGAGTGTCATTGTGATAAGGCTTTAAATATCTTGAAATTCAAAATTTAATATCAATAATGTAATTATATTTCAACAGAATCAGTATCCTAACCATATAATACTGGAAATCAATACAGAGCCTTGAAAATAAGCTTTTGTAGCTAATGTTACTAACTGCATGGCACTTACATAGTTTGCGTTAGATGGTATATTGTATTAATTTATCAGTATGGAGAAGAAGTTTTTAATAATTATACATATAGGTTACCGGAGCTCCTGGTACTCCAGGCTCTCCACGTATCCCCTGAAATCCTTGAGGTCCCTGCAAAAACAAATGTTATTATAACACACAAGTATCACAGTTTTAAAGGAAAACAAAACCTCAACATTACGAATACTTTCTATATTATTACATGAATTATTATACAAAAACTATGAATTAACAAAAAAAAAGTATTAATAACATCTTGTTTGTCAATAAACCCTAGAAATGCTCTCTGAAGTTATCTTTGTCTCGTAATAATAAATCCAAATTATCAAAGATATCATCTCCAACACACACCACAGAACCATTCACTTTCTTAGTGTCTAAACAATTGTTGTCACTAACATGTGTTTTTAAAAAAGATACTCATTTCATAAATACATTTTAGCCGAGTAAATAATATGTATATAAAATTTAAAATGTATTTAATTAAGTAAAAAAAATTAAAATTATGGCATTCTCAGTGATAAAAACTTTTATTAACATTTCAGATTTTTGCTTTATCATATTGTTAAAAAGAAAAGCAGTTTTCTATAATTTCAAAAATTGTTCATTCCCTCTAGAACATCATAAAAGCTTATCTAATTGAACATCTCTTATTTCTTATTCTCTGCAACATTGTCATTTTAGTTAATTACACGTCATTTTTTTTATCCAACAACATGAAAGAAAAAGTCTTACTGGAGGTCCAGGTGGTCCAGTGGATCCACGAGGTCCAACAGGTCCCTATATCACATAAGCTTTATATAATTTATGCTTCTGAATATAAAAAAACAAGTTATCAAACAATGGGAGTATATTTGAATTTTCTAAATTTCTAAACTGTAAAGTATATTTTTCACTTTTCCAATACTTAAACTGCAAACACAAAATACTGTATATCCTTCCAAGTAAAATATCTAAAGAAAAAAAAAGTAATGTACGTGCACACATATGGCAGTGTGTATCTTAGAATCTACAATTACTCAGCTGCTTTGATTAGTTTCTAGAATATTTGAGCCATATTTATTTTCTTTTAGCCATTTTAACACAAAAACATAAAACGTTTTTATCATTATATTTTCTTTGTCATAATAAATTAAAATTCTTAACATTCAACAGCCCTCCAAAAATGTATTTTAATTTGGTATATATATATATATTTTATTAAATATAGTATTAAAATCTCTCTGGTTTACTTCTTATTTTGTAAGTGCCATTGCTCTTCAATAAAACAAAATTTCTAATAAAATTTCTAATTAAAACTTTATGACAGATTTTAATTTCTGAAACTCTGAAGAGTAAACAATATTACACTGAAAATCAAATTAAGTGGAGATAACTTCATTTATATTCATATATTTCATATCTTGTTTAATTTAATTCAATCAGTTTTGAAGCATTGAAGCTTTAACCAGTTGTAATTAACTTTAATACATAATCAAATGCTTTAGGTGCTAGATAATGATTTGTTTTGTAATGATCAATTGATACACTGTATACTTTTCTTTTATATCATATAAAATACAACAAATAGGTTAACCAATCACAAGTGACATAAGTTGTTTCTCAACATTTTTCTATTTACAGAACTTAAAAACATGCAAGATGCCCACAGTTATATATCAACAACTAATATTACAGAAGGTGTTCTGATTTTTGTTTTGGAAGTTAAATAAATTTATTATGCTACATTATATATCTCAGTATAAAGTACATACCACATGTGCTTGTAGATAACTGAAAGCTTCAGGATGAGGTCCTTTATCTCCACTGAAACTCTGGTGTAGTGCAAGTTGATCAAACCAAGATGACACCTATAATATTTAGGTAATTACTAAGTTGGTTTGTTTTGCATATCACGCAAAGCTACAAGAGGGGCTATCTGCACTAGCTGTCCATAATTTAGCAGTGATAGTCTAGAAGGAAGACAGCTAGTCAACATCACCCACTGCTAACTCTTGGGCTACTCTTTTACCAAAGAACAGTGGGATTGACCGTCACATTATAATGCCTCCATGGTTGAAAAGGTGAGCAAGTTCGGAGATGCCGATTCAAACCCGCGACATTCAGATTGTGAGGAAAGCTCCTTAAAAACCAGGCCAAGTAATTACTAAACTGTTTTCAAAACTAATGAAAGATAATTAAGTATTTCAAAGTTATATAAGATGGTTCCAGGTCTCCCATTCCATTTTTAAGGAAAAGGAAAAATGATTTAAATGAGTAAGTTGTAATATGTATACAGACAACATAAAATGACAATAAATCAGTCAACATAGCTGTAACATGAAAAAATAAGTTTTCTATCTAATTTCTTTTTTATATAATTCAAAGAATACTGATCAACTTATCAGGCTTTTATTACAGGTTTTGTTTATCATTACAGTAAAAAAATTAGTCCTATTCTGCAAAGTGCTCTGTTTTTAACATATTTTATGAAAACATGAAAAAAAAAAATATATATATAAATGAGACTTGCAAAAATGTATGTGTGGTTAAGGTTTATTGAAAAAAAAAGACTTTAAAGGATTTATAGGTCATTTTCACAAAACAAAAAATGGGACCACTGTCAAAATATATGTTTTAATGGGTGTTATAGGTTCACTGGGGGACCTGTACTCTCTACATTTTATCTAAATATTCAATTTTGAATTTTGAGTTTAGCATATCTTATTTAATAATGTATTTAATCCTACAAAAATATTTAACTAAAGAATTCTATAAATGCAACTCATTGCTCATAATTTGATAATCTTAAAAGGGGTGCTAAAAAAATGTTAACATATTTACTATCATGATAATAAAAATAGAAAATGTTTCATTGAAAAAATATGTTTTTTATTTTTATTAAACCTGAAAGTTCTAAATGAATCAGACTAAAAATTATCAACCTTCTCATTTTTAATGTTTCCTCCAATGTACTTAAATAATGATCTCTACACGTTTATGACAAAAATGTTCAAAAATATTAGAAATCAACTCACTTCTCCTGGTGGTCCTGGAGGGCCAGGATCACCTGGATTTCCTGGCAACCCTGGGTGTCCTGGGGGACCCTAGAGAATAAGTAATAAATAGCATTTGTCATATTTATTTTATATTCATTCATAAATAAATATTGATTTTAATAAAATATACTGCCTACATACAATAACAATGACTTATACAGAAAGTAATATTCATACAAGAAAATGGAAAAAATTATTAACTTTTAGAATACATACTAATAAAATATTTACTTCCTATATCTCAGTAATGCTGGGAAAAAATATTTTCTTGCTAACGTCTTACTTTTCATTCTTCTCATTGTCAGTATAAAACTATAAACTGTTTACAATGAATGTGATAAAGTATTAACAATAATTTCTGACAATCATAATGTTAACTCAGACAAAATGATGCCTGAATTTGTAATATAATAATAATTTTGCAACAAAAAAAAAGGATTCATTTTTACTTTCAAAACTTTGACTTATGGATATATATATAACTTACTCTATCTCCTGATCTGCCTGGGTTTCCAGGTTCACCAGCTTCACCCTGCATAAAAACATACAATCTTTATGACTATTATTATTTCCTCAAGTTTGATTAAATAAAAATATTACATTAAGTGAATTTTAACACCGACCCGATATTAGTTCAGCATGAAGGATTGGAAACATGATACTAGAAGTAAAAAGAAGCACATTATTGATATAATATTGTTACGTCTCCGTGTGTT